GGTTGCTGCTCCTCTGAACCTGTTTTTCAGTCTGTTAAATGGCGCCCCGCCATGGGAGGCTCTGTGAGGGCACGCTGTGAAGGGCAATGGTGAGCAGCACTGGGTGACCCCTGTCACCTCACCCCTTGCCGCTTTCTGCCTTCCAGGGCTGCCAGAGGAACCCGACCAGAACCTGTCCAGCCCTGAGGAGGTGTTCCACTCTGGCCACTCCCGCAACTCCAGCTATGCCAGCCAGCAGTCCAAGATCTCTGGTGAGTGGCTGCCTGGCCCTGCCCCTGCGGCCTCCTCCTTCCTCGGGATCCCCCATTATGACGCTCCCCTGCGGCGCCCCCAACAGGCTACAGCACAGAGCACTCACGCTCCTCCAGCCTCTCAGACCTGACGCACCGCCGCAACACGTCCACCAGCAGCAGCGCCTCTGGGGGCCTTGGCATGACTGTGGAGGGCCCTGAGGGCAGTGAGCGGGAGCACCGGGCCCCGGAGAAGCCACCACGGCCACCCCGGCCCCTGCATCTGTCCGACCGCTCGTTCAGGTGAGGCCTACTGCTTGGTGCCCCCTGGAGAACAGACCCCTCCCGGTGGTGCCTTGAACCTCCGCTTTACCTGTAACACAGGGACCATAGGGTCCCCAAATCAGTGGATTGGGTGGTGATGATTCCACCAACTCATGGCCCTGAAGGGTGCAGCCATGCCCGGCATGCAGCAGGTTCTGTTCATGGCTGCTGTTGTGGTTTTGCGGATCGGACAAGAGCACAGTCTGTGGGCCTGACAACTGGGCTAAGCCTTAGAGCCACTCCTTATGCGCTGGATGGCCTTGGAAAGCTGACTTACCTGCTCGTTGCCTGGCATCCTCGTCTATAAAACCGGCTCATGATGGCAGCTGCACCCTATTGTGCTCTCAAGGGTTCAGTGGAGCACAGCACGGAGCACACAGGGACATTCTGAGCACTGCTGCAGCTGGCCGGCATTATTGTCGTGGTTTTGTGCTCGCGCCTGTTACTGCCCTGACCATTGTGACTTGCCCCCCCAAAATCCGACCCAGGCGGAAGAAGGACTCGGTGGAGAGCCACCCGACCTGGGTGGATGACACGAGGATCGATGCGGATGCCATCGTGGAGAAGATCGTGCAGAGCCAGGACTTCACGGATGGCAGCAACACCGAGGGTGAGCCGTGCCGGGCTGGTGGGGGCGAGGCCACCTGCTCCAAGGGCTAGCCCTGCCCCGCTTAGCCTCCATCCTCCCCTGTGTTCCCACAGACAGCAACCTCCGGCTGTTCGTGAGCCGTGATGGCTCCGCCACGCTGAGCGGCATCCAGCTTGCCACCAGGTAGGGCAGGCTCAGGGAGGGGTCGTCGGGGTGGCTGGGGCTTGGGGGTGAGAGCAGAGTCCCCACAGTCCACTCACCTGGCCTTGAATGCCAAGTCTTGTCGCCACAGTGTGACCCTGGGCCTGTCATGTCTGAAGCTCCCTTTCCCCATCCGTCAGGCGGTGTAGACACCACCTCACCTGGGAGCCTGGGGCAGTGAGGGCACGGACGGGTTCGGTCAGTTCCCATGGTTCACAGGGTTGCCTCGGGCGGTGCCTGGCACAGCGCTCGGCACACGGCAGGGGCCTCACAGGTTTATTTAGAATCCTCCCTTCCCCTTCCTCCCAGCTCCAGGGACTGGGAACAATGGTGGTGGTGATGCCTCATGGGTTTACTGAACAAATCTTTCCCTAGCACCATCTAGGCACCAGGCCCTGAGCGAAGGCCTGGTTTAACGCAGGCTGCTGCCTACACGGCATCCACAGATGGCGGGGATAGATGAGACCAAACTTGCAGGAACTACAGTTTATAGAGTCTATGCCGCGTCACAGGCATTCATTCGGAGCATGTTGACTGTGTGCCTGGCTCTCCATGTGCTTTTGGCTCACCGAATGAATGAGTGAGTGAGCAAATGAGCTTCCCACGGGCAGGCTGCTGAGGGCAGGTGGGGAGCCTGCCTAACATCCACCTCCCCAGGGAAGAGGCATGGCCAGGCTGCTGCGCCGAGGCTGCCCTTTCACGCTGCTCTGCTGACTCCTGCTGGCCACAGCCTGGAATGGCAGCCGTCACCTTGCAGTAGTCTTCCTGGGCTGCTCTGGGGTGGGGGTGGGGGAGCGGTGAGCAAGAAGGAAACTGAGGGGCTGGCTTCCTTAGGGGTTTGTAAACACACCCCTCCCTGGCCCCCTCTGAAAATGAGGAAGCATCTCCGGGAAAGAAACCAATCATTGGGAGTGAGATCACAGCAGAGCTACATGCTGAGCCCCAAGAGTCCCCGACTCCAGGACTGGGCCTGGGCTCATCAGGGAAAGGAGCTGACCAGGTTTCCTGACTTCCCACTGCCCTCTTGGCCACCTTCACATCCCTCTGAGCCTCAGTTTCTTCACCTTTCAAGTGGGGCAGGGTGCAGTCACTCCCTGCCAAGGTGACTGTGAGGATGGCGTGGCACAGCCAGACGTGCCTGGAAGCGCTCTGCAGGCCCCACAGACTGATGCTTACTATCTGTGTCACTGTGGGCAAGGGACTTACCATCGCTGGGCCTTGGTTTTGGCCCCTTTGCAACACGGGGCTGGTTAACAGCACCTGCTGGTGAAACACCTCCAAAGGCCTGGTGCAGTGGAGCGCTCAGGACATGGGACATTGAGGGGGACATGCTGACCTGTCTCTCACCTGCAGGGTCTCTTCTGGGGTCTACGAGCCAGTTGTGATTGAAAGCCATTGAGGAGCAGGTGTCCGGGCTGGAGAAGAGTCCTGCTTTCTCTGGAGTCCAGACCGCATCATTCCATGAGGAACGTTCCCCTTCAGATCACCTCTGCGCCACATCTCCTCCATGCCTCCTCCATGCACTCCAGTCCACACTGTCCCCCTAGCATCATTCCATTGCCCTCCCATCCATGCTGGGACCCTCCTGGCCCACCAAGGCCCAGGCACCACTGTGAATATTCTCCTCTGAACCACTAGAGGGCAGGCCAGGCGGGCCAGGCGGGCCCATACAGCTCGTGGACAAGAAGGAGCTGGCCAGGACTGTTGCTGCCAGAGACTGACCCGGCCCTCTGGCTGAGGACATGCAGCAGCTCCTAAATGTAGAGATGCCTGTGACAGAGGCGCTTCTCTACCTGTGTCCCCACTCACTCCAGGATCATTGGCTTTGGTCACGTCTTAGCAGCAGGGCCTTGCTCCATTGTTCCCTTGCCCTGGTGGTGGGGGGCCAGACCGCCTCCAGAATCCTGCCACCTGTGACTGTCTGCTTAGTGCTTCAGCTGTCCCTTCCTGTGACCTGGGGGACCTGCTGGCGGCCTCTTCCTGGGAGCCATGACCTCACACCCCACCCACACTCCAGATCGAGACCCCTGCCTCCCCCGGCGAAAGTCCTCCCGCTGCCTTGCAGCCTGCACTTTGCACATGCTCACCCCCAGCACAGTCCCGCTGGCCCCTCACCTCCCCTTCCCTGGGCCCCTTCCCAAAGACTCCTGGTCACTGCCTGCTGTGCAGTCAGAGGCCCAGGGTCCAGCAGCCCGGCGGGAACGGGTGCTGCCTCTCCTCCCTCCAGTTAGCTCCAGCTCAGGTCTGAGACCCGTGCTGAGAAAGGTCTGAGCACTGACGGTGCCCTCTGCCCAGGGCTGGGTCCTGAGCAGCTGGTTTTCCTGCAGGAAGGTTGGAGCAAGCAAAGTCCTTCTCTGCCCTCAGGGTCAGCTGCCCAGACTGGGGTGGATGCCAGAGAGGCAGGTGGGCTGTGGCTGGACTGGTCCGGAGCTGGCTTCATTGCCAGAAAAGCCTCAGCCTTCCTCTGTAAGCATCCCCCGTTCTGGGCAAGGGGGAAGGGCTCCTTTAAGGGGTGTGCTTTCCCAGCGGGGAGCAGTCTGGCCCTGCCCCCTACTAAAGCCTCTGCTCTCAGCACTTTCCCCCAAGTCCTTGTAACTTGCTTGAAGGTGGGTTCTGGCTGCCAGCCAGTCCCTGGACAAATTCTCCTGCCCCTTTAAAATTTCACTCGTTTTGTATAAACCCAGCAGGCTGGTGTTTACTTAGCCCTGTAGCTTTTTCATTTTTTCTTTCCTTCTTTCTTCTTGAGTTCACGGTTCAATATTGTCTCCTCCCCCAGGTGAGGGGAGGTGCTGCTTTTCTGCCCCACCTGCCGGCTGGTTCCAGCAGTGCTGGGGCCCAGCTGGGGGGCCGGAATGGGGGCTTCTCTCTCTGGGAGGGGTGCAGGTGCCCTCCCCAGACTGGGAGGGTTCCTTCCCTAGTTTCCCATCTTCCCTTGCTGGTGAGAGTTGGGCTGCTTGGTCTTGGAACTCCCTGGCATTGGGACCAGAGCATTTCTAGCATTTGTTGTTGTTGTTTTACTCACCTAACCCTTAGAAAATGAATGTTAGAAGGTGCCTGCCGAGGTGGGACAGGGTGTTTACTCGGGCTGGAGAAGGCTCTGCTCAGCCCTGAGAGTCCCTTCCTGCCCCACAGATACTGGCACTTTAAAAAGGAAGCTGACCGCACTGTGTCCAGACGAATTCGCCCCCAGAAGATGGGGGGAGTTCTGTCCTGCCCTTCTGTGTCTGTGTGACCTCACCCAGCCTAGGAGGGAGGTGCATTCAGGGTAGATTTGCCTCTCATTCAAAGTTCTGGGGCTTTGGGCAGAAAATAGCTGGCTTTGGTGCTGTTGGGGAGACTCCTCCAGACCAGGAACCCCGGAAGGAGACAGAGCCTGCCACATCCTCCCATACCAGGCCCTGGGCCAGGGTGATTGGACTGAGAATTCGGCCACAACCAAATTGATGCTGGCTGGAGCCAGAGGCCAGAAAGCCTGACTTCGTTGTTCCCATGTGGGAGCCCTCTCCTCAGCCCTCCTGTCCCCTTGAGCTCAGTGAATTCCCACCAGGCGCCCAGAGCTCCTGGACTTCAAATTCTATATATTGAGAGAGATGGAGAGTATATCAGAGATATTTTTGGAAAGGAATTGGTCTATGCAATGTCAGATTGGAATCTTCTTGAAAGTTTAACGTTTTTATTAGGAGATTTAAAAAATAAAGGTCTACAATATCTTTAGGTTTTTTTTTTTTTTTTTTTTTTTTCCTGTTTACCGCACAAACTAACCACACAGCATGTCTGCCAGGATGGAGGGTGTCCATGTTCTCTGTCTTTAGGGAGGTGATCAAGGACGTGGGGGGAGGTGCCTTTTTTTTCTTTGAGTCCCCTCCTTTCTAACAGAATGTTGCCACCACTACTTGAGTGGGCTGTGTTTGTTCTTCTGTCCCAGCTTCTGTTGTAGAAAATAACATTGTTAGGGGAAATTAGCCTAGTGTCAGTGTCTTGGTTTGAGGGGAAAAAATTAAATGTTTCGGTTTTTGTTTCTTTTGCTGTTTTGTTTTTACCTTGTTACTTTATCATATTGACTTTAGGGTCAAAGGCAACATCAGAAGGAAGTCAGATATGTATAGTGACATTCCAGGGGTGGGGAAGATGTAGGGGTCCAGGGTTCTCCCGGTCCTGGCTACAGGCACAATCATCACCAACTTCATCATTCCAGATTCCTGAGGAGGAAACTGAGAAGGCCTACCTGCCAGCCTGGCCTACCTGCCAGCCTCGTACTGAGCGAAAGCTCTGTCCTCAGGGCCAAGTTCTAACCACTGCCCTGTAGACCTCCTCTGCAATCAAGTGGCCTCTAAGGAGCATGCCTGAGGACAAATAACTCTGCCTGTTTCCTCACCTGTAGATGAGGTTATCAATGCGAGTGTGCAGCCTGACCTGTAGGAGGTGTGAATGTGTTCCCAAACTAAAGCCCCAGGCTGCCATCGTTTACAGGCCCAGGCTTGCCCTGGGCCCCTCACCCCTGTTTCTGACCCTCCCAAGTCGCTCTGGGACAGGCAAGTCACTCTGGGTCTTTAATGAGCTTGGAGGTGGCAGGAAGCTACAATGGTACTGGCCAGGCCAGGAGGAATCAGGCCACCAGGGCTCCATCTCTATCCCAGGATAGCATTCACCCCACTCCTCAGGGCTGACCCCCACTTACGGCCTCTTTAAACCCTGAAGGCGGATTCTGCCCCTTCCTCTGTTATATGCACAACCGGGGAGGGAAGTAAAAGTGGGCTCCTAGCTGAGCCCAAAGTCTCCTGAGAGATAAGGGAAAAGAATCGGATTGTAGGTTTAAAAATGTTGCTCTTGGCCAGGCGCAGTGGCTCACGCCTATAATCCCAGCACTTTGGGAGGCTGAGGCTCTAGGAGGCAGATCACTTGAGGTCAGGAGTTTGAGACCAGCCTGACCAACATGGAGAAACCCCATCTCTACTAAAAATAGAAAAATTAGCTGGGCGTGGTGGTGACTGCCTGTAATCCCAGCTACTCAGGAGGCTGAGGCAGGAGAATCACTTGAACCCAGGAGGCAGAGGTTGCAATGAGCCAAGATTGTGCCATTGCACTCCAGCCTGAGTGACAGGATGGGCTTCCAACAAACCAACGAGATAAATGCCAGAGGGAGTGAACCATGCCAGGCTCAGAGCACATCTCTCCCCAAACCCCCCAGGTGGGGACAGCAGGCCAAAGGCCTCCACATAACCCCTCAGGGAGGCCTGGAGTCCAGATGCTATACTCCAGGATCTAAACAATCACTGAATTTTAAAGCTGGCTGGTTCAAAACTCTTACTTTGGGCCGAGCGCGATGGCTCACACCTGTAACCCAAGCACTTTTGGAGGCTGAGGTGGGCGGATCACCTGAGGTCAGGAGTTTGATACCAACCTAGCCAACACGGTGAAAACCCGTCTCTACTAAAAACACAAAAATTAGCTGGACGTGTTGGCACGTGCCTATAGTCCCAGCTACTCGGGAGGCTGAGGCAGGAGAATCACTTGAACCCAGGAAGCGGAGGTTGCAGTGAGCTGAGAACACGCCACTGCACTCCAGCCTGGCCGACAGTGAGACTCCCATCTCTGGGGGAAAAAAAAAAAAAAACTCTTACTTTGGGCCAAGCCTCCACGGGGTGCCAGGGATACAGCAGCAACCTCAGATCCTACCCTCAGGGAGCTGACAGGGCCGGATGAACAAGTGTGTCAGTGAATTAAAAGGCACAGGAGGCTGGGCACGGTGGCTCACGCCTGTAAACTTTTGGAGGCCGAGTTGGGAGGATCGCTTGAGCCCAGGAGTTCGACACCAGCCTGGGTAACATAGAACTCCGTCTCTAAGAAAGAAAAAAAAAAACCCTTCCCAGCTGGCTTCCCTGAGGAACGTGGTGTCCCAGGGAGCTGGATGGATGAGGAGCAGCCGGCCGGTGAGTGGTGGGGGCCCGCGTTCCTATCTCGGAGCTGAAGAAGCGTGGAAGATGATCTGGCCCAACATCCCTTTGTTCTCAGAGGAAGGACCCTCCAAGACCGGGGAGGGGCCTGTGCGTGGATTCCGGTCCGAAACGTGTCTGGGCTGCTGCGAGAGGCAGCCGGTGAAGGAAAGAAGGGGGCATCCGGAGAGTGGCCCGGGAGGCCAGGCGATGGTGAGGAGGGCGCCCCCTCTCCACCAATCCAAATCCTCCCCATTCATGCGGGCAGGGGACAGACCCTCCCCCGCCCATCCTAGACTGGAAAGTGAACATTCTCTGCGCCTCTCCCACCTACAGACTAGTTACGGCCCCCAGTTCCCGTGTCGGCTTCACCACTGACTCGGATTGGGATCTACCTTTCTCTGAGCCTCGCTTTTCCCATCTGAAAAATGGAACTTCCGATCCCGCACTCCCATCTCACTCTGACCCCAGGACTTTGGGATACTTAGAGATTGGCTTTTGGTGGGGCGGCGACAGGACTGTGGCCATGAAGGCCAGGGAGTCTGGGTCCCCAACTCGGTCCCATTCCCTAGGGAGATTCGGGCAGCAACGGGCCCCACAATGCTCTTGAGAACTACACTTCCCCGATATGCAAAGGGGAGGAGGCGGTTCCCGCTAGTCTCCGACGACGTGGGCCTGAGCCGGCCTGGGGACTACGACTCCCGGCGCGCTCCGCAGTCCAAAGCCGGAAAAGCGTGAATCCGGAACCGGATGTGGCTTGCGGCTCCGGTGACTGAACGCGCGGGGAAATGGTGAGATTGGGACAGAGTGCCGGAGATAGGGGCGTCTGGGGGTGGCGTCTCGGGTGCTCAGGAGCTGGGGCATGGGCACTGGAACGGGGATTGCTCTCCCGCCCCCCCTATTGTACGGACGACAACGCGGAGGCCTGACATTCTCTCCCAGCCTAGAAACTGATCCCTAGTCAGCCCTCTAGCATCTGTTGAATGGGAAGCTTAGACCGTGATCGGGCCGCGACGCCCCGCCTCCATTAGTACGCCAAAATAGAGAGTCACTTCGTCAGCTGAGACCTCCCTTTTCTCCAGGCCACGGGGACAGACCAGGTGGTGGGACTCGGCCTCGTCGCCGTTAGCCTGATCATCTTCACCTACTACACTGCCTGGGTGATTCTCTTGGTATGTCATTCTCCCCGTCCGCTGCTCACCTTCCCGTAGCCCTGGCACCGCCAAGCAACTTCTATGTAGGTTCTAGGCACGGCGCTGGCTTCATTGCCTGCCTTATCTCTTGAAATCTTCAGAACAACTCTATGAGGAAGATGCCAGTGGTGCCGCATTTTTTAGATGAGATAGCTGAGGCTCGGGGAGAAGGATCTGGCCCAAGATTGCATCCTTAGCCGCTACACTTAAAACTCTGTTTCCAGCTTGCTTTGACGTTTGGGGGAGTTACGTTCCTTCTGGGTTAGCCTGCTGACTCAGGCACCGCGAGCGCCAGTGATACCTGTGAAGGCCTTTAGGATATTTTTTTCTTGTGGGAAAACTTGTTGGTCATTGCTTAAGAAGTGCAGTGTGTTTGGAAGTGCAGAACTTGCTATCCTTTAGGGAAAAAATATTAGTGAAGAATCCCTGGAGGCCCAGGTTGGGAGTCAGTCGAGGATTCCTCATGTACTATTTGCTAGGCTGTGAGTGCCTTAGGGCTGGTCTCTTGTCCCCTGTTCTCTTGTCCCCACCACCAACCTATGGCAGGCACCAAAGCAAGTGTCCGGTAAATACCAATAAGAAATTAAGGAAGGAAACAAACCATGACACCCAAATGCCATAATCTTAAAGAAAAGCAAATGCAGGCCCAGTGCTCTGAATGGGCCAGCCCCTTAGATGGTGGAGGTGGTATGTTTGGGCTTGGGGGCTGGGCAAGGCGAGCAAGGCTCACCAGAGCTCTGCCCTCGATGCCAGCCATTCATCGACAGTGAGCATGTCATCCACAAGTATTTCCTGCCCCGAGCCTATGCTGTCGCCATCCCACTGGCTGCAGGCCTCCTACTGCTCCTGTTTGTGGGTAAGTCATCACTTCCTCCCCTTGACCCCGGGTAGGGTTTCGGGAGGACCCCACCTCTGAACATGCTTCCACACTTTGGCACTGCTGGAAGCTCCTTGCCCCGAACTCACCCCTGGGGTTTTCCTGTTCATCCTTCGAGGTTGCCAGTCAGTAACCTCTGGGTTTCCTGGTGCCCCAGGCTTTTTGGACTCCAATGACCTGTCCCTCTCTTTCCTGCCCCCAACCCCATCATCGCTCTGCTCACACCTCAGTCACCCTCTTGTCACCCTGGCTTCTAATTCCTGCACCTCTCTCTCTCATGGCTTCCTAGGGGCGGGGACTGTGTCTCCGTCATTACTGTGCATCTAGAATGGGCTGTGGCACTGAGGTTGTGCTCAGAAAGTCATTTGGATGAGTCAGTCAATAGCCAGGTGCCTGGATGATGGGTGGATGGATGGGTGGGTGGGTGAGGTGTAGGAGGTGGGTAGGTATATAGGTGGACAAGTGGTTGACTGGGTGATCTATAGATGGGTGGATCTTGTTCCCCTTGGAATCTGAAACACTAAATGCAGCATCTTGCCTGAGGCAGGCACTCAGCTGGTGTTTGTTGAATGAATGTGAGTGGACGTATGGCTTGACGAATGACTAGGGAGATGAGCAGGTTCCCTGGAGAGTGGTTGGGTAGGTTCACAGCCCTGCGTATGGGTGGCTCTGCTGTGTCATGCCCTGGCCTCCCAGCAGCCCTGAGCTTAGATCTTACGTGGCCTTTCTGGTCTATGTATTCCAGGACTGTTCATCACCTACATGATGCTGAAGAGCGAGAGGGTGACCAAGAAGGCTCAGTGAAGGTCCCGCGGGGATGAGGCTGCCAGCCCCTTCTCTGCTTCCCCTCCAGCACAGGGACCAAGTAGGGGAGCCTGCAGAACCTGTCCAGGCACAGTGGCGCCTCAAGCCTGCCTGTCCTGCAGAGTCCCCATGACATAGAGCTTACCCCTGCCTGACCGGAGCCCCCTCCCTGACTCCCACTTCCGGAAGCTAGGAGGGAGGAATACCTGGAAGACTCCAGTCACCCCCTTCTTGCTCAGGGCCTAAAAGATGCTGGTCTCCCAACCTCACTCTCAGACTCCCTGCCACCTTTTTCCCCGGGTTCTGCCATGTTGCCTCACTTCCCCTCCTGTCACATGCTGACATTGGACTTAGCGGGTTCTAAGGCCGCATGTGTGACCTCTCTGACCTCTCTCCACAAGTCCTGCTCCTCCAGCAAGGCAGCTTTCCTTAGCCTGACACAGCCCAAGACCCCACAAAGCCTTCTGGACCTGGAACACCTGGGGAAGGACTGACAGACCCCAGGACCAGCCCTGGGGCTCAGGGCATAGTAGCTGCTGACCGATGACTCCTCATGGAGGCCCAGCCCCAAAGCCCCAGGGCTGGCCTGTTTGGGAGAGCTGACCAATAAACACTGATAATGTGTTTGTCTCTGTGCTGTGTTTACCCAGGGTCGGGGCTGGAGCGGGCTGGGAGTGGTCTTGGGTCAGGAGATCCTGTACAATGGGGGTGACTCAGGGGCCTTCTGCCCTGACCCTGTGCGCTGGGGATAGGGCAGCGACTGGGAGAGATGTGCTTCCTACCCAATGGAGCTCACAGCTGGGAGTCATTGAAGGCCCTGGCACCCCTGTGCCATGCCTCCTCTGTGCCAGCTTGGGCAGGTTGGATTTATTACTTTAGGGACCCTCGGGCCACTCCCCTAAAAGCCCCACAGCCCAACTTAACGTGGCCCTGAGCAGCGAAGGCTGCTGTGTGTTCAGGTTGGCTGGACTGGCCCAGCCCCCAGCCTTCCAGCAGTCCCACCGCACCTGGGCAGCTGGCTCTCCCATTTACCACCGCACCTGGTACAAACCCCCATTCCTCAAACCCGGGACCCTCACTCTTCTTCCAGTTGGCAGAGGTATCTTCCTCATCACAGAGAAAAAAGAGGCCAACTGCAGACACCCGCCCTGTCCCTACCTGCTCCATACTCTGTCCTCCAGTCCAGGCAGAGCTGCCTACTTGGGCTCTGGATCCTAATCCACCAACCTCCAACTACTATAGTGGGAGCCTGAGGTCACAGCTGGCCCCACCCTGTTGTGAGAAAAATCTCCACAGGATTCTCCCACTGTTTCCTAAGTGTGCTCTGGGATCCCACTTACAGGCCCTCCGTCAACCCAGTAGTTCCCACTAAGTGTCTCCCTCTGTCCATTTCACCACCAAGCTTCCCCAAAGGGGGTCCACATCTGCCTCCTGCATTTCCTCACCTCCTGCCACACTCAGCATCTGTCCCCGTCTCCAGGCAGGCTCCAGCCACTGAGGCCACCAGCAGTGTCCACTCTATTTTTTTTTTTTTTTTTTTTTTTT